TTTTTTTTTTTGAGCAGTAACCCAAGATGGCAACCGCTACTCATTATTTAGTCCGTACAATTACGTCACACAGCGACGACCCTCCCCGAGGTTTCTGCTACACTTCCCAGAATGCTTTGCAAACAATACGCCATTGGTCCGCGCCGACGGAAATACAAATGACTAGGCGGAAGTAGGTTATTTCAGAGGCTGGCAAGGTGAAGACCAGGGAGGCTGTGAGTAGGTACTGGGTTTGGTAGCTTGGCGGAGAGGGACGCCGCTAGGGGACTGTCTGGTGCGAAGCGAGAGGTGGCACCTCTGTAATCCTAGGGCACCAAACTCCTGCGTCCTTCCAGTAGAGTTGGGAGCAAGGAACAAAGATATCGTTGTGGAAGGGAAGTCTCCGTACTACAATCTTGGTGTCTTAGTTTTTCTTTGGACGATGTGGAGCTAATTTGTGCTCTTGTCGTAGCACAATGGTCATTGGCGCGATATTGTTGCGACTAGATGAGTGGGGCCGTGGGACTGCTGATGTTCTGACTCAGCTTTTAGGCAGTGATTGATTATAAGTTGGCTGCACATTAGAATTATTTGGAAAGGTTTTTTGTTGTTTTTTTTTTTAAAATAAAAAATGGAGGTGGTCCTGTCCCAACACTAGAGCAATTATTTCAGAATCCATGGTCTTCTTTTGTGTTCTGTCATCCAACCAGGATTGAGAACCACTCATAGAGCCTGATTCTGACCCCCAAGGAAATCCTTATTAGGATCACCTACGTCAGAGCTGCTCTTCCGCTATATCCTGAATGGGTTCAACCACACGCATGTATATGAAGTTGATGATTTTGACAGGGACTCTGTTTTGTGCTTCACTAGAAACTTATTCTTGAACTTAGCGTTGTGGTTCTGGAAAGACAGCGGAGTTTCTTTTTCATAACCAAGTTATTTATACTGAATGAAAGATTAGCGCCTTTTCATTTTTCTGGGCAGTATTTTACTTCTGCCTGTTATTCCTACCCCGACAAAACACGAGCAGTGAAAGTGGAGAGTTACATTAACAAAACACACAGTTAATGTGGAGAGTCACATTAACATCTGTCCCTCTTGTTTGTAAGTTCAGGTGCCAAAATTTTCCAGGAATGGGCGTCAGTTAGAATGATATTTGGCATTATTTATGGGCTTATGATAATCTCTTTATAGTAATGAATTCCAGTGGAAGGAAACTAGGGTGTGTTTGAGCCCTTTGTGCAGATGGTAGTCCCACAAGGAGAGTTTTAGGTGTGATCCTCAGGGAAAAAAAATTTTTGTAAATATGAATACATAATATATTTCTCCTCTTTCCAGACTTCAGCTTCCCCTCCCACTGAATATAACATGGGGGAGAAATCAGAGAACTGTAGGGTTCCAGAAGATCTGATCAATGGCTTGAAGGTTACAGATGCCCAGGAATCAGAGTGTGTCAGCCCTCCAGTTTCTGATCTTAAAGATGTGCATTCCCAGAGCAAACTGCTCAAGGATATTCAGGCCCATCCCCAGGATGACCAGGGAGAAGAAGAGTGTTTTCATGATTGCAGCGACTCATTTGTGAAGGAGGAGCCAGAAGTAGATAAAGTTGAGGGCAAATTGGATGGTGATGTAAATTCCTCTGAACTAGATGAAGAATACCTAATAGAACTGGAAAAAGATATGCCAGATGAAGAGAAACAGGTAAATCTTTTATATAGTGTGTATAATTTGTTACTTAAAGTATGTAAATGTGGTTAATGTATCATAGACCCCTTAATCTATGGTGAAGAATAACTTGCCACTTTGTGGCCATATTGTTTTAATAGTGATGGATCTGAGATAAATCAGTAGCATGTCAGGGAAACTGAGTGTGTCCATTTTTTCCTGTGAACTTGGAGTTCTTTTGTTCATCTTGTATGTCAGAAGTCTGAAACATTACGGTCCTTTTGCATATATACATATTCATATATGTATATGTATGCTATTCTTTATGTTCTCATCTAAATGAGATGCTAAAATGAACATTTTTTGTAGGACTATTTAAGATTGTATGCTGCCTATATCTTATAATCCCTTATTAGCAGAAAAAAATGACTTGTGTTTGTTTACACAGAGCAGTGACTGAGGCCTCTGCCATTTGAAACATACAGCATTCTCTAGGAACAGAATTGTGTGTAATAGTAGTTATCATCTACAGTGAGTCAGCCGCTGAACTGAAAACATTAGTTGTGTTCTCATTTAATCTTCAGGACACTGCTATGAGACAGATACTGCTATCATTCACCATAAAGGATCAGAGCTAAGAGTGGTAAAGTAACTTACCCAAAATCATACATCTAGTAAATGGTAGAACTGATTCTCAAGCACAAGTCTCTTTTGATACCAAAGCCAAAGTAGGATGCAAAATTTAATAACAAAAACAGTTCTCTTCTTACAAAGTAGATACACACACACAAAAAAAATGTACAGTCTCCTGTTTTTTTGCCTCTGGGCCATATCTTTAACTGGACAAGCCTCTACTTTTGGAGACAGGACTTCTTGGTGTCCTATGTGTCCTTCCTTCTGATCTCACAAGTATGGTAGTTCACAGTTACTATAATAGCTGAACTTGTCCACAAAGAACTTAATGATGTTTGTAGCTTATGCCTCTGAAGAGCCCACTCACTGATCAGGTTAGGTAGATTGGTAATGGACTGAAATGATAAATGTTCAGTATAACAGCAATGAGGTGGGAGGAATACCTTTATCTCTCCTCAGACAATTTTTATTATCAAATATATTGGTTTTAGCCGGGATATGTTAGTGTATACCACAGGAAGCCAAATCCACTGCCATTGAGTCGATTCCAACTCATAGTGACCCCTATTGGATTTCCAAGGCTGTAAATCTTTATAGAAGTAGATTACCTCATCTTCTTTCTGTGGAACACCTGGTGGGTTTGAACCACCAACTTCCTGGTGAGCAACCAAATAAATACTTTATTCAGTATACTACCAAGGCTCCTTGTGGCACAAGAGAAAGAGGAAAAAGGAGAGAAATGAGCCAAGTTCATAAAGTACCTCAAAAGAAATAGCTCAGAAAATTAAGTACTATTCAATAACAAGGTGCTCTGGTAATGTAGTGCCTAAGGTACTTGACTGCTAACCAGAAGGCTGGCAGTTCAAAACCACCAGCCACTCCTTGGAAGGTTGGGCAGTCTACTTCTGTAGTGATATCGCCTCGGAAACCCAAGGAGGGTTCACTATGAGTCAGGTCTGACTCAACGGCACATAACAACACCACCATTCAATAACATTAGAGAAATGATTTGCCAGAGAGTGATTTTTGGTTCATTTATCATATCAGTAGTATAGGCTTTTTACATACATTGATTGAATGTCCGTGTTAAAAAGTCATTATTGCTTTTCTGGTGCCTTAATGTATTTTTCCCTGATACCAGGGCATCTGGGTTTGACAATTGAGTGGTTTTGCTCAAGGTATCACATACTTTACTCCCGGCTCCCAATTTAGTAAAACTTTGTGTCTCCAAGGCCAGAAAATCACATTTTAAGTTCTATACATATTTTTAAGATAAGTATTATATTGTTTATATGTTTAATATAATCTAAATAGTACAATGCTTTATTCACTTTTTTCTTCTTTTAAAATTGAGACATAATTTACGTAGAGTGAAATAGTATAAGCTCTAATGTGTCCTGTTCAATGAATTTTGACAAACATGTATTCCCAAATAATTGAGGAAGAGAAAGACATATAGAGGTACGTGGTAGGTACAGACAACAAAGATGAACCCTTATGCACATATAGTATGGCGTTGTCAGTGAAGGCAAACATGGGTATATTGGTAGATAGATGGATGGACAGGCTCAACTAGTAGGTATCTCTATGAAGCGTATGTGTAGGATTGGCTGACAATGGTCCTGTAAGTTTATGTGTATGATCTGAATTCCCAGGTGTATAGTAGAGCTGACAAGGGGCAAGGTTGTGGTCACTGCTTGGTCACTGCCAGCTATGCAGAGGTCCCAAGTAGTTGAACCTGTGGACTCAGGACCATAGTCACAGAAGACATCAAGCTCAATTGGCATAACATAGTACACAAAACATTGTTCCACCTCCTACTTTGGCAAGTAGCGACTGGGGTCTTAAAAGCTTGCAAGCTGCCATCTAGATGCAACAATGGGTCTCTGCTCGTCCAGAGCAAAGAAGAATGAAGAAAACAAAAAATTCATGGAAACAATTAGTCCTAGCAACTGGTACACCCTCCAATCTTCAGCCTATATGACTATGAGACCAGATGAACTAGATGGTGCCCGGCTACCAATGTCAACCACTTGGAAGGGGATCTATGAAGAAGATCCTGGATAGAGAGGGAGAACAATGTGGAACAAAACTCAAAATCTTTTGGAGAAAAAAAGGGCGGGGGAACCAAGTTTGCTGGTCCGATAGAGCCTGATGGAACCACTGAGACTATGGCCCCTAGCTGCCCTTCAGGTCTGGAACTGAACCTATGCTTGTGGCTTCCAGCCAACAATAGACAGGTATATGAGTTGAACATTTCCCTGTGGTAGATACACTCCTTGGAGAGAACAATCATGGGAGAAAGAAGGACTTCTTATTCACAGGATGACAGCTCAGGGGACAGGAGTGCATGGAGGGATGGACACAGGGAAGAGGTAACTATAGGGAGGAAGTGGGAGGGGAGCTGTTGCATTGTGGTAAATTGTGATCAATGTCATGAGACAAAGTGTATGTGAACTGCTGCACGAAAAGTGAATTTCCTCTGTAAATTTTCACCCAAATCACAATAAAATAATATATATTAAAGGAGCTCTGGTAGCATAGTGCCTAAGGCACTTGACTGCTAACCAGAAGGCTGGCAGTTCAAACCCACCATCCACTCCTCGGAAGGAAGGTTGGGCAATCTACTTCCGTGGTGATACTGTCTTGGAAACCCAAGGAGGGATCATTATGAGTCAGGTCTGACTCGAGGGAACATAACAACAACATATATGTAATACAAGTTGTTGTTATTTATAGTAATAGAAAGGATATGCACTTGTAAACTCCCAAGTCAAGTGTGTTTATGCTGTATTTACTGCCTGTAAGTAAATGCCTAGCCAGCCATTGCATTGCAGAGGGTATCTGGTAGAGAGTGGTTGTTTTATGATTAACAAGGGAGCAAAGGAACACTTTGCTCGTTTCTACTGGAACCGAAATTTGCATTGGTTGAAGTTCTCCAGCTTTGTTTTCTTTTCATTAAAAATAAATAAAATTCAAAATCCTTCTAATATTTTAAACAAGTTAATTAATCCACGCAAAGCTCTTAGCACAATGCCTGGCACATAGTAAGTATTCTGTACACTATAACTATTTTTTATTAAATATTGCTGTGGAAACTTCACATTTATGTAATATTTATTAAGGCTCTCCTTCCTGGTGGATATTATGTATTTTTATGTGTTTTAGCTCATTGAATAATAAGAATTTCACAATCATGGAATCAGACATCCAATCTAGTGTAGATAATCTTAGCAAATAAGATTATTATATTAGAAAAATTCAAATCTATAAAATTATAGAAAAGTCATGGTTACAGGAAGAGTGTTCACTTAGCAATAGTGTAATCATTTTAAATCCTTGATTCTCCGACTTTAGTGTCCAGAAAGGACACTTATATTCTCCTTTTCAGTATTATTTAACCTTAGATAAATGAGAATGAACCCACATAAGTCACAGATTCAAGCTGTTTGATGGATTCAGCCTTTTTCTGGAAATTGTTCAGGTATTTCATTCAGCATTTATTAGTACCCACAATAAATAGGCAAGATTAGTTTCCTGACAGAATATGGTTTTCATTCCTCAAGAATCTCATGGTCCAGCTAGTGAGACATGTAACTGTGCTTATATTTTTATTTTAGGTAGTTTTCATGTTTTACCAAAGTACTCTAGTTCGCATTTAGGTGTTGAAGCCAGGAGCCTTCTCTGTCTTGTGTTCTATTATATTCCCCAGCAGTTAGCACAGTACCTGACACATTACTCCAAACCAAAACCAAACTCACTACCTTTGAGTTGGATCCAACTCATAATGACCCCTCCTTGGGTTCTGAAGCGGTATCGTTATGGAAGTAGAATGCCCAGTCTTTCTTCCAAGGAGTGACTGATAGGTGCTCAATAAATATGTTGAGTGACTATGTCATTACTAAGGAAGGAGTTTAAAGTCTTCACTGGAGACATCCTTAAAGGATGAAAAATGACTTCTCAGATGGAATGACCCATTTTAACTACTTAACAGTACTGATTATTTTGTAGAATGGCTTTCCATTGGGGTTAATCTGATTTTTTAGTTTATTTACTTTTGTGTGTTTGGTTCAAGTTATGCATTTTGGGTAAGAATACCATCAAGTGATGTGTTCTGCATCCTTTTGGGGTGAGTGATTAAGGTGGTATTTGCCCTCTTTCTCTATTATAAAGTAACTACAATAAATTTCCCATTATAATTAGTAAAAAATCTTGTGGGAGATTTTCATTCCCACCCCCTTCAGTGTGTGGTTAAGACATTTGACTGCTAACCAGAAGGTTGGTGGTTCACACCTACCAGCCGTTCCACAGAAGAAGATGAGGCAGTCTGCTTCTGTAAAGATTTACAGCCTATGGGGCATTTCTCCTTTATCCTGTAAGGTGTCTGTGAGTTGGAATTGACT